TTCAGACATATCAGTTTTTACAATTATGCCAGATTATGATTACAGTGAAACCTGAAAATGACATATACACTCTTGAAAAGAGAAAACTTGCAATAAGTTTTCTGTCACCTATCATTTATTTCAAATATCTATATCTGCAACAAAATGTGTGTGAATGTATGTCTGTGTCTGTGTGTGTCTGTGTGTGTGTGCAAGCATGCTTATTGAGTAGTAATATAATAGTTTAACCATTTCATTTCTTTGTGTGTGTGTCTGTAAGCCTATTCTCCATATTGGATGTGTTTTACTGTCAGCCATACATCCAGGTTGGCCAAGAAGGCCTTAAAGGCCTTAAAGTGCTTGAACCCCGGTAATTGCTGCTTGCAGCTATATCTATTATTATTATTATTATTATTATTATAATTATTTTCAGTGGAATTAAGGCTCCTAGCCAAACTCATTAATCAGAAGTGGGAATCTACACTTTTGTGCATAGTGCAGTCTATATGGTAAGAATGTTGTTGCAGAGGTATGATATAAAGACACCACCCTGTTGCATCACTGTGAAAAATAAAAGAGCGACATATCCTCCTATACTGACGAACACAGTCAGATGGCCTCTGTGTACATGTTGCACAAGTGAAGAAATCTCACAGTCTGTCAGTCATACTCTAGATTTTTTCTGCATGCCATTCTGAACCTGTTACAATCTACATGACATGGTGGTAAATGCATGGTATGCATGTATATCAGTCAACTTTGTAGCTGTGGCCTGTTTTAATGATGTGAGAAGACGGTTTTACACTCTTCCCTTTTCCTGAGAACAGTGCATTTGACACTGCTCATGACTGTGGTTTACTGTTTCCGTCTTCTCTTGCTACAGAGTGGTGTGGTAAAGAACTACATGGCCAACCAAATCCTATAGTACGACGCAAGTAGGTCGCAACTTTGATAATGCAAGACTTGAGAAGTGGCTTTAATGTTATTCTTTTCTTAAAAAGGTAACAATTGCAAAAATCATTGGTTTTGATGTCAGTCACATTTGATATTCGATTTTAGAATGTACATATTATTGTTAGAGGGGACACAAATGCATATATACATTCTCTTTCTCAAAATAATCCCTCTTTCAGCAATTCATCAATATGACTATGACTAAATACTTCAGTTATGCAGGAAGTTATGCGAGACCGTTTCTGCCCTTATGCACACAGTTGGGTGTTTTTTTTTTAAGTGAGGAGACAATATGTCTAATGTGTGTGACAGCTTTTGTACCTTTTTTTTCTGAGAGTGTGGTAGCCATTGACATCCATAGCATTGATGTAAGTCAGTGGCTACCAGCGACTGTTTGATTACCAACATTCTTCCATTTTTCAAATTTACATTAAAATGCAGTAAGATCTATACAGACCTGTAGCATTTAAAAAAAAAAATTTCTTTTAGTTTTTTTTTTTTTTATTCATTAAATATTTTAATATCGGCCAAATCAGCCATGAAAATAATTATCAGGTTTTCCGGCCAGAATTGAAATATTAGTGCATCCATGCAAAGTCAGTTAAGTTGTGTCACTTTATATTAGGTGCTTCAAGATGATTCAAGATTCAAGATTTTTTTTATTTGTCACATGCATGGTTATATAGAGAATATATGACCAGCAGTGAAATGTAAGGCTTTAACTACTAAGTAGCTACTTAGTAGTTACTACTTAGTAGCTACTTACTACTAGTTACTACTAAGTAGCTTCTTAGTAAAACTACTTAGCTTTAACTACTAAGTACATATCTCAAAATGTTATTATTTTTAAACTAAAATGTAGTTGCACTATTGTACATACTACTGAAAGCAGGGACCCATTTTAGGTCTATCATGTGCCTAGCCTATCCTATCATGTGCTACAAACCATATAATAGTGTATAATTAGAAGAGTATATAGGCTTATTAACTTATTAGGGGAGAACAAAAGTTTTTCTTTTGTTTTATCTTTTATTACTGACGTTGCTGAGACTGTCTCAGATTAAACTCTTATATATTTTGGTGCAAGTTCTTATATTTGAAGCTAGTCACATTGTTAATTTTCCTATTCAAATTGTCATGACAATAATAATTGACAATAATTTTGCATATTATTGGACCTGTGCAAGGCATGGTAATGTCAATAGATTTTAAAGTTTTGAAAATCAAACAGTGTTAGTACTGTGTTGGATTGCCACCATTGAAATGTTGGGGTCTGAGGTAAAACTAGTTAGGCCCTTGTTTAATAAAATGTCTTCACAATTTGTTTGCCAGGAAAGAACTAAAAATAAAGTAAAAGCAACTAACTAATCAAGTAAACCTGTTGCATTTCTCAATGCGAGAACAAAGTTCTGTAACCTTCAGCCCGTTTAGTGACTGATGACATCAATGCCGTGCCATCATATCACACCACAACATTTGCATAACCTCAAAAGTCTCTGAAACGGTACAGGGAGTTCAACAGTCAACTGTCAAATTATAGACATCTATAGAGAAGGCCAGAAATGATCATAAAACCCAAAGACTTTTAATTTCTAAAACAATTTTATTTAACATAAAAAAAAAAAAAAAAAAAAAAGCCAGTACAG